GATTTGGTTTGATTTAGAATTTAAAATAAGGAACTCAGCCAGTACTTTCTGGATGATCACAGCAAACCCTCTTGCAATAGTTCCTTCTAACTTTCTATCCTATAGAAATTCCTTCTGTCTTCTGTTACCAGGTTTTCTTTCATTTCTTCAGTAGAATTATTTGCAGGGACTCAAGCATGACACTGCTGAAGTACCCTGATAATAGTAGCAAATTCATTTTATGGAAGCTTTCAAATTTCCCATATTGCTTTATAAAAATATCTCACTAAAAATGCATTTGACAAAACTGAAGATACAGCTCAGTGGCAGTGCACTTGCCTTACTTATGGGATACCGTGGGTTTGATTTCTGGCACCACCAAAAGAAAATAAGTTTTACTTCACAGTTGTGACAGGAAATCATTGACTAAAATTATCTGTTCAGGGCTGGAGCGATAGTGCAGTGGGTAGGATGTTTGCTTTGCTCACGACAGAACCAGGTTCAGTCCCTGGAGCTCCATATGGTCCCCTGAGCCCTGCCAACAGTGATCTCTGAGTGCAGAGCTAGGAGTACGCGCTGAGCACCGCTGGATCTGGCTCAAAAGCAAACAGAAAGACAAAAGATAAAAAAACTGTTTGGCAGAAATGAAGTATTGGTTTTCAAGCGAATGACCTTTGGCAGTATGCCAACTGCCTGCTCTCTACTAAACGCCTTTTCCTATAAAATTTTAAGTATTTGTAAGTGGGTATAGCTTATTAGGTAAAGGTAAAGGTAAAGGCCCTCCCATTGATCGTCGATTTGCTCGAGCGGGCCCAGTAACGTCTCCATTGGAGACTTTGTTGTTACTGTGTCTGGCATATCGAATACTCTCGGTAGCTTGCCGGGCTCTCCGAGAGGGGCGGAGGAATCGAACTCGGGTCGGCCATGTTGGCCGCTTGTAAGGCAAACGCCCTACCGCTGTGCTATCGCTCCAGCCCTTGCAGGCTGGTCCGCGACTGCGTCCTGGCGTGAGACTCTGCCCACAGCAGCGGCGTTGCCGGGAGCTCGGGGGACGATGCAGTCGGGTTTGGACGTGCGTGCTTGGCCTGTTTCCCCAGAACAGGTCGAGAGGGTTCCGGCCGATGACCTGTCCACTTGGCTTGATACCGCCCAGCACCTTTGCAAGCGGTTTAGAGTACTGAGCTGTGCTGTTTTTGAGTATTTAAATTAAATTTTTAAAAAAATGCTGCTTCATTAACATGTCAGCAAATCCCTGCCTGGCATAGTGCCCCCTGGGAATGTGCACTTTGGCCTGGAAACGGATAAACAGAGGGAGGGCACTGCTTGGCCGCTCGTGGGCCATGTGGGCCTTTGCAGACATCTGGCTGGGAATCGGGGACATCGTGGGAACTGGCGTTCCTGAGATGCACCGAAAATGTACCCGGCCCCGGTGAATCCTTTACTCCGTGACCCGAGCTGCCCGATGCCCTTTGGGTGGGGGGTTGGGGGAAGTGGAGATTGAGGCTTGTTCGCTGTTGTCAGAAGACGCCCGTCCTGGCCGGGAACCGGGGCCTGGCTGGGGTGAAGCTGGAGCAGGGTCTGGGAGCAGATGTGGAGACCCCAGCTGGGGGGAACCCTCCGGGCTGAGCTCTGGGAGACCAGGGAGGGGCTGGGCTGCAGAGGCGGGGGCTGTAAGCTTGCGTGTCGCCCGGGTAGTGCCTCTCAACTGTCCATTCTCTGGGGAGCGAGAGCTTCAGCCATAGCTTATTATAAGCTATTATTAAGGATACTGAATATAGTTTAATAGATTGCTATTAAATTTAAATATTGTTTAAACAAGTGTAAAGTATTTTTCACCCCTCAGCAAGAAATATATTTGCCAAGTAAACTATGTTACCCTGGTAAAAACATCATCACTTAAACTAGGGGTATGTAGGGGTGAAATACAGGCTGTGCATGTCTAGGGATCTGGGTTTGATTCCCCAATACCAGGGGTGAGGTGGGAGAGATAATAAAAAGTAGAATTTCCTAGTGGAAACTTAATATTATTGCAATGGCTGAAGAGAAGTTGGGCACATCATACATCATCTAGATATAATGTATTATTTGTTTCTTTCCTTTTAGATGATTTCTTTCAACTGTTTGTTGTTGTTGTTGTTGTTGTTTGTTTGTTTGCTTTTGCAGAGAAAAGAACAGGACTACTCCTGACTCTTTGCTGAAGGGCATTCCTGGTCGTGCTTAGGGTACCATCTGTGTTATTGGGGATCAAGCTGGGGTCCTTGCTATCTCTCTGTCCCCTCATTTTATCTTTTTTTGTTTGTTTCTTTGGTTTGCTTTGTTTTTGTCCTTTGGGGTCAAATCCAGTGATGCTCAGGGTGGTTCTGCACTCAGGAATTACTCCTGGTGGTGCTCAGGAAGCCATATGGAATGCCAGGGATTGAACCCAGGATGACCGCGTGCAAGGCAAACGCCCTCCCCACTGTCCTATTGCTCCAGCACTCAATTTATCTTTTAACTTCTCTGCCACATATAAATTATATTTTCCAATGCCAGGGTCAACTTATTTACAAAATAAAGATTAGAATATTTCAGTCTTTGATATAATAAATGAGCACAAATTCTTGTTTTTCTAAGAAGGCTGGCCCATGTGTTCAAATAGCCAAACCATCTAATTTAATAAAGATCAAATTTCAATGATGAACATAAGCTAAGAATCTGGTTCTCCACTCTGGATAGATATGAATATACCTGGTTCTCCAAGAGGGGCTTAATTTGGGGATTATCAAAGGCGAGAGAACTCCTTTAGGACCATTGACTCTGAGACCCAGGACTGACTTTATGTCCGTTTAACAAGCCTTCATTAACTGCCTACATGAAGAGTCCTAGGGTTTTATGTCTAAGATATAAAACTATTTTTTGTCTTTAATTAGTGTCCCTACAATATAAATATGCATTGAACATACTTAAACCTGAAGATGCACCATCTCTGCCATTAGAATGTTCTAGAGAAATGTGTTCATAGAGAAGTGATTGCAGGGCCACGGGAAGCTCTAAAGAAGAACTAAGAGCAATGGAAGGGGACTGTGTGGGAAGGTTTCCTGATGCTGGGAGAGAGTGAGCCCTTGCTCTGGAGAAAGGATTCATAGGAGGAACATGTGATCCCAGTGTAGTACTGACAGTGGTCTTCTGTGTCACAGTGCTAGGGGAAAGTTCTCACTGAGTTCACTGCCTGAGCTGGATCATCTGGCAGGCTTGGATTTGAAAGGTGAACCCAAAGAAATACATGTGAGTTGGAGAGATAAGGTGCTTGCCTTGCATGTGACCAACCTTGGGTTCTGACCCCAACATCACCTATGGACCCCTGAGCATGGCCATGAGTGACCCCTGAGCAGAATCAGCAGTAAGCTCTGAGCAATGTCAGGTGTGACAGTTTCTACAAAATAAGTGAACAACCAAATACGTGTGGCTGAAGGACACTTATCCTTCATGTTTGTTGGTGAGAGCGAGGCCCTTTAATCCTCCATGTTAATCCATGCACATTTTGTTTAAAATTTTATTTTATTTTTATAAAATTGTTCACAGTAATTTATTCTATTCAATATTCCAACACCAGTCCCACCACCACTACACCTTCCTCCATCATTATATCCAATTTCTCAACCACCACCCAAGCCTGCCCAAATACCAGGCCCTAAATAATTTATTTTATATCGCTTGTTATGAATAATCTGCTAAAAGCTATCAAAACAATTTCCTCAGGTGAAAGTTTATGAAGATTGTTGTATCTCACCCTGGAGCCATTAAGCCCTTGTGTACAAGATTCCTAATATGTTGTTACTAGTTGAGCCTTGTATACTAATGTATATATATATATATATATATATATTTAATCAAGATTAGTTGTCATCTACACCCCATCCAATGTGGTGTGCTACTCCTGGTACAGCAAGTGGTATATAGAGTATGACATGTTGCATTTGTGGCTGCATGCTCCAAGAATTCTAAAATTTTAAATAGGGTGATACAAGTGGAGTTAAATTTTTTTAACTGGATGGTGACTTTGGGGTCTGAGACATTACTGCAGTTTGTTGATATCTTCTGAGATTTATGAGTATCTGGATCATGGCCAGTTAATGAGCTTACATGGCACGAGAGACATATAAGCCCTGGTGTAAGAGATTACTAACATTATTGGGCATGACTGCCAGCTCCCACAAGATCACAGAGATGGGGAAGGTCACCCATCCCTGATTCCGTGAGAGCCTGGAGATTTCAGTCACAAAACCCGCTTACCTGAATTTTTCAACAGAACCACTCATGGATGAGGCTTGTCCAAAGCCTGTAATTCATACACTTTCTCTAGTTATGTTGCAGATGTATTGAGCACAGCATCTCTCATGTATAACTTGCTTCCTGTGTCACCTCCTTGGCTAGGAGCAAAAGTCTTAACTCTGTCGTAGTCAGCAGCAGAAAGAAATGTTTAGTTTTAAATCATACATCCAATGAAAACATGTCTAGTACACTCTTAGCAGTGCTGGTGACACACTGTCTCCTTCTGTCAGCAGATGTTGCAAAACTGAAGACAAGAACTCAGAAATTTGCTCTTAATCTGCAGATTACTTGTTTTTGAAATTATTTTTATGTGTACTTATAGATATTTCATTTATCTTAATGATGATTTTAGTAATAACTAAGGCATTTGAAGGTCAGAGAAATAATACCATAGGTAAAAACTTGCACCCCCAACTCCCAGTTCCATATATATATATATATATATGTTCCCCTCAGCCCACAAGGAATCAAGAATGATCTCTGAGCAGAGCCAAGAGTAAGCCCTGTGTACAACTGGACATTGCCCCAAAATAAATAAAAATTTAAAAGTAATAATTATTGCACCTAAAATTTAATTTAATGACATTATTGGACATTATTGCTGTAATAATTACTCTTGAAAATATTCTACGCTTTCCTTCTTCCAAACTATAATGGTCCTTATTCATATCATTGGATGTACTGTTTCTTTCTGTTTGTTTCTTGGACAGGTCACCATTATAGCTGATGATAACTGCAGATTTTTATGCTGGTCAAGAGAAAGATTAACTTACTTTCTGGAATCAGAGCCTTTCTTATATGAAATATTTAGGTATCTCATAGGAAAAGACATTACAAATAAGCTCTACTCATTGAATGATCCCACCTTAAATGATAAAGTAAGTGTTCTTCTGAGTGTGTCTGTTTTGTTCAGTAAGCATGTATAATGAGGTATGCCTCCTTTATGCAGTATATGTTTTCCTGAATTGTCATCAATTAGTCATGTGTTAAGTGAAGTAATTTAGAGTCCTTACAAGGAAATCATTTCTCAAGGGGGAGGAATTACATTGTAATTATAGTTGCCATTACCTAGAGGCAGCTGTAAGTGCCAGGGTTCTGTTTGAAGTGACAAAGTACTATCCTCTTCACAGAGTCGTATAAGTCTCCTGGGAGGATGGCAAGGGAGTGGGAGTGGGGAGTGGAGTGGACCAGGAAAGGTCAGGCAGTGGAAGACTGCATGCAGCCTGGGAACCACAGACCCCAGGGAATAGAAAGTTAACCTCAGGGCCCTGATGTCTTCCATTGTTGCATGTCCTCATGCTCAGGTGCCCCCATTCCACACCGCCCCCCACCCACACCCACACCCTGCCCCATAGGTGACCAGAGAAGCAGAGATGGACACTTGCAGCAGTTTAATAGGATCCTCAGTGCTGTGTAGATTTTCACAATTTGCTATTTGACTTCCATTTTCCCACTTTGCTTAGAAGGAACTCAAAATGATTACAGAAGAGAACTTGCCAAATGTTGTTTCAGTGATCTGTACTGTACTCCAGGGTCTGTGAGTAGTGGGGTGAGCATCCCTGACACTTCAACAGTGGTGCGTTCCACTGGTGACTCACACTTCAGTGTGGCTTAATTAACACAAGTGACAGCCTCAGTGTACTAAAGTCACCTTGTCTAGGTTGCTGATCACATGCATTTGCTGTTCATTGTTTTTCAAGTGAATAAATAAACTCTCATGCATATTAAATTGTTAATTATGTATTTGTAATTGTAGTAAAACCTACATTAATTGGGCACTTCCTGTACACCAGGCAGTCTGTTTATTTCAAGGGGAAAAAATACTGATGACTAGGATCTCAAAAAATCTTAAAAACTTTGCTTTTTAGAAAGTCAAAAAATTGGAACCCAAGATGAGTCTTTCCACGCAGATCTCCATGCTGGAGATGAGGAACAGCTTGATCAGCTGCAGTGACAGTGATGACGGCTTGCACCACTTCCTTCGAGGCACCCCCAGCATGTCCTCTCTTCGTAAGTTACCTCAAAATTGATCAGACCCTGTTGATTCTACAGGATGTCACTGCCAGTGACAAATGACATCTCGACAGAAATAACTTTCCAAATAACTAATCGACAATGTCAGTGTGACAATAAATATAATTTAAAATGTCTGTAGCCTTTTATTTATATATTACACCAGCTAAAATCTAAGTTCGGATGCATAGGTTACTCCAGAAGTTGTTCACTTATTTTGCCCAGTATTTTTCTTAATACTGTTTGACCAGAAGCTGGATGGATAATATAGGGGTTAAGGTATTTAAATTGCAAGTTGCCAGTCTCAGTTTGATTCACATAGGTCCCTTAAGTCTGTCAGGAATGATCTCTAAGTACAGAGCCAGGAGTAAACCCTGAGCAAAGTGAGATGAAGCATTCCCTGCCCCCAAATCATAATAGAAGAATCTTGAAAAATTCATGTGAGATAGCAAAATATCAAATTTCTCCACTGTACCCACTGTATAAACTAAAAAACTATTAATATTTCCAGTTCTATGTAATTTCAAAATAACTTCAAGGTACACATTCCACAATGCTAAATGCTTATGCAAATAGTCTTATAGCTTTGATGCTTTAGATCAGAGGTGTTTGACAGGTGCTGGTCTGCAGATAGAGGAAGGATGGAAACAGGCTGCAGAGATGGGACAGTGGACAATGTGCTTGTCTTGCATGCAGCTGATCTGGGTTCATCCCTGGCACAACATATGTTCCCCTAAACCCTGCCAAAAGTGATTCCTGAATGCAAAGTTAGAAGTAAGTCCTTAACATGGCTGGGTGTTGCCCAAAAATCAAGGGGGGTGGGGTGGGGTATAGAAAGGCTGAAGACTCCTGGCAACTGCAGTGGTGGGGAGGTTGAGTGGTGGACAGTGGTAGAGTGGCTGCTGTCCATGGAGACAGATGCCGGTCTGCAGGTGTAAAAAAGTTGAACAATACTGCATTTATCTAATGGAATTTATCTAAGTGGAATCAGGATCTTAAATGTTGCAGTCAGGAGGCTCTGGGATTTATGCAGCCTTATAACTGGTGTAAAACTCCAAAACAAAGCATAGGCAGATAAATGCATTGTGGACCTGAAGCATATTTCAGGAGCAACAGAAATGAGGAGTTGGAAATGCTTTTATTTTTCTTCGAGGGAATTCTCTTAAAGTATGAATTTGACCAAGCTGCACTTATGTAGTTGTCCAAAGCACAGTCTGTTTTGCTGAGTCCATTGGGTGGTCAGTAAATATTTTCAAATGGGCTATGTTCATGTACTGTGTTTACTGTGCGAAGAAAGGTCAGCAGAGAAGGGATTACCATTAAATATTGTGTGTATATTATTTTCCTTATAGAATGGCTTTTTGGGAAGTAGGTTTTGGATTTTTTTGTAGTTAAGTGGTTGTGGCTTAGAACAAGAACATGCAGTATGTAGATGAGTTCCATTTTCTTGAATCATTTTTGTTTTCCTATATGTTTTATTTTTTAAATTAAATATGATTCTTTTGTGAGTAAATATAACATTTTAGGAAAACGCTTACATAGAGTTGACTGTTACTTGTCTGTTTTAGGTCACAAGCATACAATACTGTTAACATTCATGGTTTTGATGTGCATGGTCACCACACCTCACTGCCACCAAAATTTTCAGGACCCTCCACCACTGCCCTTATGTGATTTCATCACCCTCACCCTCTCCCCACCTTACTTGGTATTGTCAGGTTTATGTCCAGGGCCAAGGGTGTGTCATGGATCAGTACTATCTATTCCCTTGTTTGTCTATCTGCATTGTAGAGATGAGTAAGATCATCAGTATTTGTCCTTTCTCTGACTTATTTCTCTTCATATGGTACCCTCCAGTTCTATCCAAGTTGTAGTGGACTGCAAGATTTCATCTTTCCTCTCAGCTGCATAGTATTCTGTTGTGCATATAAACACAACTCCTTTATCCATTTATCTGCCATTGGACATTTGTGTTCTTTCCATATCTTGGCCATCTTACTAAGTGTTGCAGTGAATATAGGTATGCAAATTCTTTTTAAAGTTTTGTTCTTGTGTTTGGGGAGTAAGGGGTGGAGATGCCAGAAATCACAGGGTCATAAGGGAATTCTGTTCTTTATTTTTTGTTTTGTTTTGTTTTGAGTCACACCTGGCAGTGTTCGGCTACTACTCCTGGCTCTGTGCTCAGGGATCAACCCTGGCACGGTTCGGCAGACCATATATGGTGCTGGGAATTGAAACCCACGTCAGTCACATGCAGGGCAAATGTCCTACCCACTATACAAATTGCTATAGCTTATTCTTAACTTTTTATGAGTAATCTCCATACTGTTTTCCCTTGAAACTGACCCAGACCACATTCCCTTCATCCATGAGCGAGGGTTCCTTTTCACCACATCTCTGCCAAGACTGGTTGTTTCCAGTCTTTTTGATATATGACAAGGCTTCTTAAACTTTTTGCATTTGTGACCCCTATCTGTCTGAAACTTTTTTGCTTGTGTGTGTGTATGTGTGTGTGTGTGTGTGTGTGTGTCGGGGGGGGCATACCCTGTGAGGCTCTGGGGTAATTCCAGGTTCTCCACTTAGGACTTACTCCTGGCAGTGCTCAGAGGACCGTATGGGATTCCAGGGATCGATCCCAGGTCAGCTGCATACAAGGCAAGTGTCCTGTACCATTTTTCTAGCCCAAGAAATTTTTATCTGATCCCATCGGATATATAAAACAGGTCAAACATTTGCAGATAATAAAACTATTATTTTTAAACAAAGTTTTAAGATTTTCCTAACCTTCTCCGTTCAGTTACATGACCCTCCATTTAGGCTGGCAACTACTGTTTAAGATGCTAGGAGTCACATTTGTTTGTGCTTGCCTTCAGAAACCTCTGTTTGCAGGCACTGAGAGACCTGATCGCACATGTTGGGCATAGACTTAGGTTTCTGCTCCGATAATGATTAGCTGTATTTCTTGGCATGGATCACGGGAATTTTTTTTATCTGACATGAGCCATCAGATGTCAGCACAGGCCAGCATCTATCATATCCTCTTCAGTTTTCTTTCCTCTTCCTTCTAGTGAATTGTGAATTAATCCAAAGAGGCATTCCCAGTTGTGGGTCACTGAAACATCTGTGTTGGAAGTCTGTTGCTCGTGATTGCAGGATTGCATTTTTATGTCTTAAGTTCCCTGGTCTAGCTGCACTGGGCTGGGCTAAGGATACATAAAACTTGCTTAAGATGGGACCAAGCCACAGTGCAGAAGGTAGGGCTTTTGCTTGTACGTGGTCCATTCACAGGTTCAATCCCCAGGTCTCCTGAGCTCACCAGGAGTGGTTCCTAAGGATAGAGCCAGGAGTAACCACTGAGCATCACTGGGTATGGCCCCAAAACATATGAACAAAAACACTTGCTTATGATAATGATTTTATCTTCAGGATTATTAGGCAGAATATTACAAATCAGTACAAAGGTGTACTATATGTTTTTGAGGGTGTGTATATATGATTTGTGCAACAAATTTATGTCAGTGCCTGCTTCCCCTGATGAAGCCTCAGTCTGAGTTTTTTTTTTTAATTTTGTTACTGTAGTTAGTGCTTGACCATAATAGCTCAGATCTTAATCATGGCTTGTTTCATTCACCCCAGCGTATAATTCGTTAAAAATGGAACAGTTCTTCTTTCTTTTCTTTAGGTTTTACCTCTGAACCACTAAAGGTTGTTTTTGTTAAAATTTCCTTTGCCTGTCATTCACATCCCCCATATTACAAATTACAGCCCTGCTAAAATAGAGCCTGGCAAATCCATTCCTAAGGACCGCAAGGCTGAAATAATAACATTTGTCCCTGTTTGAGTGTGTGGCTGAACGTAGTAAATGTGAGGACCCTCCAACAAGGGCCCAAGCTGTTATTATTCTGGGCTTTCTGGGGCGCAGATGGAGGCAGCCGCAGCCATACTCCTGACAAACTCTCATCTTCATTGGCGCCCATGGAGAGAAGGGCGCCCACAGTCATCCTTAGAGAAGCTGTTGTTTTTGCAGGCACTCAATCTGCATCATCACCTGGAATTCCCACTGCAGTCCCTTACGGAGAGGTAGCCGAGCTTTTGTTAGATGAGGCAGCAGTCACCGAGTCTGATCCTCAGGCACCATCCTCTGAAACATCAAGGACAGGTTCTGCTCTTCATGCCTGGCACCGAGGGGGGAAGCTGCTGTCCCAGGCGCCACGTTCTCATGGCAGAGGGAAAATGGTGGTGTCAGGCACCATTGAAAACACATAGCGCTGCCACGTAGAAGAAGTTGGGCCACGCACACTCAGGTTTCCCAGGCCAGAGAGCAGTGGGCTCTGGCCAATGCAGGATTCACCTGATAGAGAGTAGGGATGCTGCTTTGCCCGTTGTTCCTGTTCATCCAGAAGGGATACTGGATAAAAACCTCAGTGTCCTGTCTGATTCCATAGCCCGTGCTGGGAGATCACATTGTCTCTGTGTGTTTGGAGTTTGTTGTTGTTGTTGTCTGTGTCTGGAGGGGATGTTTCAGAGGGAAGCATACCTCAGGTGCTCAGGAGCTACCCCTGGACTGTGCTCAGGAGTAACCCTTTTTTAAAATTATTTTTTAATTGAATCACAGTGAAATAGAGCATTACAAAATTGTTTATGATTGTGTTTCATTCATACCATTATATGACTGAATGTTCCAATACCCATCCCTCCACCAGTGTAATTTTCCAGCACCAGTGTCCCCAGTTTCCCTGCCAGCCCTTCAAGTCACCCCCCCCACCTCAGCCTGCCTCTATATGGCAAGCACCTCTCTTCTCTCTTTCTCTTTCTCTCATTTTAGGCATTATTGTTTGTGATACAGATGCTGAAAGGTTATCATGTATATCCCTTTACCTGTTTTCAACACTCAGTTCTTGTCCAGAGTAATCATTCCAACTAGTATTGTCATAATAGGCCCTCCTCTATCTTAACTACCCACCACCTCCCACACTATTGACTAACCACTGACCAGT